TTCATTCTCCAGAAATACTACTTAAACTCTAAAAGTAATTTAAAACTACCTTTTTGTTTTCAGTTCAATGTTAGCTGCATCCATTTCATTCAGCAAATGATATGGAACTCCATACCGTGGATTAGCTCGAGCTGTGAACAAAACTTTTCATTAATTTGTGTTGGCTAAATGAAATCTGGGTGCTGAAAAGGAAGCATGAAAACCAGAAAGGACTGTGCTGGGAGCTTGGAAAAGTGCTACTAACTAGCTGTGTGAATACTAATTTTTCCTGGATCTCAGTTTTTCCATCTGAAAAATGAAAAGGTTAGAACAAATGAAAGGTCAATAGTTCTTTAAGCCAAGCTAGAAGAATTCCATTTCTTCAACTCTCTTTAAGTATACTTTTAAAAAAGAGTATCCACATTTTCATCCTGATTGCAAATATAATAACTACTTACTGTAAAAAATCTGACAATTATTTTTAAAAGTGTAAAAGATACTACCTGTAATTTCACTCCCAAGAGACATATACAAACACACATACACACTTTTTTTTACAACCAGGATCATATTTACCAAATCTATAATTTGCTTTTTCATTTCATATGTTGTATTTTTCCAAAGCCTTGAATAAATGATTACATAGTAGTCCATTGCATAAGTAGCATAATTAATCTATCCAATTCCAAAGCCTTGAATAAACGATTACGTAGTAGTCCATTGTGTAAGCAGCATAATTAATCTATCCAATCTTTTTCTGTTGGACATTAAGGTGATTTCCAGTTAGTCACTATTATAAATTAATGGGAGCAACAAGCATCTTTGAAAATAAATATCCATACACAGCTCTGATTATTTCAAGACAAACTTGTGGAAGTAGAAATACTGCTTTAAAAGGCATGCTTGTTTTAAGGCTCTTTAAATACGTACACCCAAACTAATCATATTAGTTTACATAGCTACTAGCTGTGGAGGCAGCATCAACTGTATTTGACTTGGTAGGAAAAAAGTGGCACCTCATTGTTGTTCATCTCATTGTGATTCACATTTTTTTCATTATGCGTTAAGTTGAAATATTTTTTGAAGAAATAGGAATTCCTTCTTTTCTAAATCGCTTATTTATATCCTTTTCCCCATGTACTACTGAGCACAATGGAATAGATATAAAGGCACTCTACAGATAGGGGAACTAGTCACATATTTTACTGTTTTCCACTAGTTTGTCATTTGCCTTTTAATTCTATTTAAGGTTTATATCACTTTCCCTTATTTTTTTTCTTTGCTTTTAAGCTTAGAAAAGTCATTTTTACCTTAACATCAGATACATATTTAAGTTTTATACATTTTAAGTTTCCTTTTTTACGTAAAAATTAAAAGAGCTATCATTTAAGTGTTTGGTATAATAGGGAAAATGCCTTAGTTATTTCCCTAGCAACCGAACCAACTTCCCAGTTGTATTTATTGAGTAATTCACTATCCCCCCATTTATCTGAAGAACTACCTTACCACAGATTAAAATCTCAAATATGCTTAGATCAATTCCTGAGCTTACTGCTCTCTTTCAATGATCTGTTCATCTCTTTGCATTATCACTACACTGCCTTTGTTGCTATAACTTTATAAATATGTTTTTACTGGTACAGTAAATTTCCCCTCAGTAGTCCCTTCTTCAATTTTCATTACTTTATCTAAGTGAATTTTAGAATCATTTTATAAAGTTCTGTCCTTTCACCCCCAGAAAAGTGCATCAAGATTTTGGCTGGACCTTTATTCAATTCCTAAGCTAACTGGAAAACTGGTCATTCAGTATATGCTCTAGTTATGCTCATACTAAAATTAAATTCCATGACAAAGACTAATATTCCATCTGAAGACTTTCTTTTTCTGTTAATATATCTTTCCGTAATTGTGAATTCTGATACACAATATTTTTATCAGGCTTATTACTGTATCTTTTTTTTCTCCCAGGAAAATGCAACGCCTTTCTGATTAACAGCATAAGTTATATAACTGCTTCAGATCTAGAAAGTTAATTTCCTTTGATTCACATGAAAATTAGTAACTGCTTTATC